ACAAAATTGCCTTCTTATAGGATGGGTTCGTTTATCTTTGGTTCTAAATGAAAAAAACAAATACAAAAAGAAGAAGGGGTGGGTTTTGCAGTAATATTGCTTGTTGAGTTTTTCGTATATGTAAGGTTTGTGTTGAGTTTCTCTTCTGCAAAACCGTTCATAGGAACTTGACCAATTGATTAAGTTGATTCTTTCGTTTAAACGAATTGATTATTTGGTGTAATGATAATGTTTGTGTTGAGTTTCTCTTCTGAAAGGATGGTGTTGTCTTCTGTAATGTTGGTGTTGAGTTTCTTTTCTGTAAGGATGACGTTGTCATAATGTAAAGTTGTTGTTAAGTTTGTCTCCTGAAAATGTTGGTGCTAGTTTCTCTTCTGTAAGTATGGTTTTGTCATATGTAAGGGTTGTGACGAGTTTCTCATTTGCATGGTTGGTTTTGTCTTCTGTAATATTGGTAAAGAGTTTTTCTTCTGAAAGGATGGTGTTGCCTTCTGTCAATGTTGATGGTGAGTTTCTCGTTTGTAAGGATGGTGCTGCTTACTGTATTGTTGGTATTGAGTTGGGTTTGAATTCATTTCCGTGTTTCTGTGTTTCTTCTTGTGTAAAGATGACTTTTTGAAACATTTCCAAAGACTGGATAAGCTTCTTGCACTGCCGATAAAGATATTTTTCAAAAATCTGTGAAAATAGTGTGAAGTATATTACATTTCATACAATTTGTATTAATTATTAAGGCATATTGCATGTATTAATGTATAAGCTATGATTGAAGAGGTAAAACACGAAAATATATTACGGAGAATATTCAATTAACGTTGTCTTTGAATTCTATATTTATTAGTTTGTATTATGTCGTAGTTTTTTTCTTGATTTTTTTTAAAATATATATTTAATATAACTGACACGTGTCGGCCATTAGCATTGATTTTCTATAAGTAGGAGACTGGCTTCATTATTTGTTTCTTTTTTGGTTTTAAATAACGAAAGCTTTCACTTTGAAAAAATTTTCAATATTTCTTTACATTATCAAATACGTTTCATCTTTCCTAAGTTATATAGCACCAAACAAATACATAGCTTTCAGGAGTAGCTGCAAATTGTACAGTTAGTTTCCACCAACACAAAACATTACTACAATTCTTTGCTGAAACAAAGATATTCCATGTTCCTTAGTAACGATACGGTGATGATGATCATCTAGCGATGTGAATAATCATCCTACCGTTGCTAAAGGAACATGCATATGATCAGGCAGCCAAGTTAGTTAGTTGGTGACAGGTTCTAGTAGAAGCTGTTATTGCAGACTATCGGTAGATGTTGGTAGTCGTGGTTATTAGAGCCTTGTACTGTGCATTTGGTAGTCTCAAGTTGGCAACCTAAATTATGATAGCTCTCGTAATTCAGACGTATCAAGCAGATGCCGAAATTACTTGTTAATATTCGGCCAACAAACGTCGTCAAAAGGGAACATTTGCATGTGACTACGCCTTAACTTGTACATGTACATTAACCTACTTTGTAACCTAACAAGTTTATTGGATACGGATGAACAACAACGCCTACAAAACAACATAATTACTTATCATAATGGCCCGTGGCCTTAGTTAAATATGTAGATTGATTTACCATTCATATTCATACATGCTTTAGGAATGTATATAAAATATTTTTAAGAGTAAACAAAACATAAACTTGAAGGCGATAGCGTTTTTTATCATTATAAATGCCTTTTAACACCCGTCAAAACATGTTTCAATAGAAACACTTAACCTGTCCGTAACTTGTAAAGGGTCGAACATTATCATATCAAGACAACCTTCAAATCGGAGGTGAAGGTCACCTCGAGGGAACATAGCCAGCATCGATCGAATTTATAACTGTCTAGTAATTTTTCAACAAATGCATATTCCGTTCCATGTACAAGTCCTAAGACACATTTCAATATATTTTGTACAGGATATGACGTATCAGCGTTGATAAGGACGTTACCCTACCTCATTGACAGTTAAATTATGAAAATCTGGAAATCACGGAAGTTTATCACTGTTGGTCTGAAATAATATGATGTAAATAACGAAAGATGTTTTTGTCTTTCACTTCGTGAAAAATAAAAAATTGTTTACAGTTAACTTACACGCTTCTTCTACTTAAAGACAAATTTAGCTTCAAAGAGTAACTCTCTCGATAATTTTAACAATTAGTTATAATAGTTCTATTGTTGCTTGATAATACCTTCGGATTTTTCAACCAGGTTTCCCACTGTCAGTGATGCAGGTAAGAGGGACTGACATGGAAAAAGCGTCTAGTCGTTCGGATGGGACAATAAACCGAGGCCCCGTGTGCTAATAGGCTGTGCACGTTAAAGATGCCTCGACAGTTGGAAATCGAAAAAGAGCAGGCTAATGCCACTGTCCTGGCAAAATTTCCCTCATGGCACCCTGCATGGCTTTGCCCGTCTTCATTAGCCCACAAGGTGCAGAAGAGTAGGACGTAAAACTCCATTCATTTCATTTCATTTTTTCTATTGTTGCTTGAATGAATGGACATGGTTGACTCCAGTCCAAAACTATGTCTGATCCGTATTCTTAGTGTCTGGGTGACCGTGACTGTGTGTCTGTGACAGTGTATGGCAAAGTCCAATAGCATCTTCAGTTTTAAGAACAGTTTTGTTTGACTAGAATTTGTTTACGGTCAGAAGATTGTGTATATTATGTACTTCCTGTACTGAATATATCCAGGAAGAAGTTATGTTTCCATGACCACGGATTGTGTTAAATACAGCTATTATGTCTTTATCGACAATTAGAACATTATTAAATGTAATCGGATTGCTATTAAGCAATATAGATATTTATATATATAGATATATATTATATGCCAACGAAAAAAGGGATTGTTTTAGTGATAATGCAGTCTTTTATGATCACAAGTTCGAATTTGATGTTTTTTCGATGAACGGTTTTTGAGTTATTGCCCTTGACTAAGGAAAAATGCGTCAAAGGATGGTAGTGAACACAGTGGAGACTACAGTTTTGATCTGAATTTAATGAAACTTTTTGTGATCATTTATATTGACAAAAAATTTGACATTTTTTCTATGAACAGATTTTAAGTTACTGCCCTTGACTTAAAAAAAACGCTTCAAAATTTGATCATGAGGACAATAGAGACTATTGTTAATCTGATTTGAATGAAATATAGTGTGATGTGATATCTTGGTCAAGTTCAAATTTGACGATTTTTCGATGAGAGGTTTTAGAGTTATAGCCTTTGACTAGATAAAGTGCTTCAAAATAAGCACAAAATAGAATACAGTTTTCACCTGATTTTTTTAAATTTTAGATTTATGTTGATAAAGGAAATGAAATGAATGGAGTTTTACGTCTTTTTATTATGTTGATGAGATCTTTTGACAGTTTCTCTCTTAACAATTTGTAAGTTTTTGCCCTTGATTAGAGCTGTGTGATTTAATAATTTGAAGTATTTGGGTTATTGATATTGATTTTAAAATATTTTGTGGAATTACTCAGTATAAATAACTGGCAGTAAATATATATATCATTGAATTCAAACTAATAAAAAAATTTTAATATGTGAAAATTTGTACTTTAGTCATTAAAGACTGTTTTATCATTTCTGACAGTTGCCAGTGGGCGTATGTTACTTTGCCTGGCGAACTGTCTTGATATCAGATCTATATGACATATTCCATAACATCAAACCCTCCCTTCCCCAAAATTAACTAATGGTGCTACCCGATCAAGCCTCGTTTTGTTTATAGGAAACCTCGCCCATTTCCTTGTAGCAGAATTAATTAACAAGCAAATGTGTGAAGCAACGTGAAGATTAGTCAAACTGCCAAAATCTATTTTAATTTGCAAAAGGAAATGTCACGATGACAGTTGCTATTTGGCGTTAAAAGATGTTTACGTCCGTCCATTGTGGCTTGTTAACACCTTGTATATCACAATTTTTAACGGATTCGAACAAAACATAATGGAAATGTTGCCTGTTCTACCCAAACAAAGCACCCCGTCTCCCCATACGAGGCTAAGTAAATCGTGGAAATGAAATGAAATGAATGGAGTTTTACGTCCTACTTTTCTGAATTCTTACGTGGAGATAACAAACATGAACGTAGTTCACCATTTTGAATTGTTACCTCTACTTATTAAGTCGACTGATGTGCCATTGACCAATCATACTTTAGTCTCAGAAACGGGAATTTTTCAGCTAAGCCAATCACCTTCGAAATTTGAGCCTTCAAATCCATTATGTCCAGAATTATCCACGTTTGAATTTTAAAATGACGACTCGTCATTTAAGAAATGATATATAGAAAAGACATGTATTGAAATAGTGAGTAAAATTCCTAGTCTGAGATATTTTTGAAGGAAGTAATGATTCCGTACATTTCTAATACTTATGAAGACTATTTACATATTTTCAGGACTCAAATCAACCCCCCAAAGCGGCGCATCCATCCCTTTAAAAAGGCTAAAATATTTCAAGAAAGCCTTCAAATCACATTGTAATGTGAATTGAAGGCTCGGTTGAAATATTAAAAGATTTCAAAATTTCGACTTATTAAGTCGAGGTACAGATTCAAAATGACTGCAAACTACGTGTTATTTCCATGTAAGAACCATAGTGCCGTATGCCCTTCTCCGCCACAGTTTTGCAAAAATCTCTAGGTTAAAGATTCGGGCAATCTCAGATATCTCTCCTCAATGTTGAAATATTATTATCTATGCCTCTCTTATCACTTGTGATTTCCCTTTGACTCAGACTTCAGCTGCAAATAGACGAAATACTGTACCCGGTGTGATGCAGTAGACAATGGATGAAGTGAATGCACTAGATTCACCGAGTGCGATAAACGTCTTCTGTTTTCTACGGCATGAATACTCAACATCTTAGACTGCACCGAACAATGAACCATGATAAACGGATTCAAGTCAATCTCAAAAGAATATGGGTGTGCCACTCAATTCACATATTAATTATCGAGGTTTATTAGCGTTATTAACATGTTGAAATATGTGTGTTCACAGTTATCATTAATATCGGTGATTTCAACAGTATAAAAAAAACATAATAAGTTAACATAATTATCGTCTTCTGGCTGTGGCTTGATCATCTTCTGCAGTCAATGTTTCTAACAATTTCAAGGCCTCTTCACCATGTTCAGTGTCACGTAAAACATTGGCGGCCATAAAAAGATTTTCAATCGACGCCGAACTGACTCGTCGTATATCCCTTGCCGGCGACAAACTCCGTTCACGTCTACGAGCCTCCCTTGTTCTTATGTTGTCGGACAGTTTTTCGGACAATATGAGATTGTGTTTGGTTTTGATTTTCAGATGATCACCCTCTTGGTAATGGGAGTATTGGGGTGCATTCAGAGCTGCTGGTGAAACTGAGATCGTTGGTATTGATCCGCGTCGACGTGGGTGATGACCTTGCGATGTCGAAGCAACGATATCACCTAGCTCTTCTTGAGTTGCCTTTATTTCTTTATCCATGTATCTTTGGACTCGTAAGGAATGTCTGTCTTGAGCTTCTTGCTCCATTTCCAACTTCTTAGATCCATGAAGCTGTTTCAACTGGAATTCCAACTCCTTTTTAGACACGTTCCCAGACATTGTGTCGGTGACAGAACTAGTATTGTTATAAAAAAAAACAGGAATGCGAGTCTTAAAATTATAATATAGTACTTATATCGGAATTTCACAATAAAATTGTACTTCAGAAATTCAAACAGTGAAGCGTTTGGTGATCCTTGAACACATATGTCACTATTTTCACTTTCCAAAGAAGTAATATGACTCAACTTAATAAATGCGACTTCGTTATTGAGAAAAAGAGACCAGCACTTGAAATCCAAACGTTAATCTGGTTAATCCTGAACCAATTATAAGATTTTATTTCAGTTAATGTATTAAGGATTATGTTCGGCGTGTTATATCATCAAACCAAAACACTTCCAAACCAATGTCTCTGCACGTTTGTTACTATCTGCGTATTATCAGAGCTAACCATGGGCGGATACCACGAGGAGGTCGGGCCAAAGTTTTGTTTAAATTTATTGAACATTGCATGGAAAATCTTCAATATAATAATATATACCCGATATTTAGGTTTACTTATTAAGAAAGAAAGAAAATATAAACAGCTAGCCCTTTTCAAGGGTACCAAATTGGGTTCTAGAACGTTTTATCTGGTCTTAGATCTACTGGAATAATGAGAACAGATGTGTATTTCGAGGTTTCTGTACTACAACCAAGATTAGAACCAATAACCACCATTTTTGTTCATTTTCACCAAACCCCTATCCAAAAAAATTGTGGAACCATGAAGGTGAATGCGTTTAAAGTACATTAAAATACACATATGATTGCATCGGTCAAAAACGTTTCATAATGTCCAAAAATCAATTGAAATCGGGTCTTCATTAATACCTTTTGTGACTCACAACAACATAATTTCTACTTAAAATTCATTTCTTATTTGCCACATGTAGGCCTTCAGTTGATGTTTGTCCGAGGTTTCGAAGGATCACATTACCGATCTGAAAAATTCATTGACTGTTCATGACGTATCGGAAGGATCTGCTTAGCTATTGCTTTTTCCTTTGTTGAAATGAGCAAAGCTTTGATTGTGAGTTAGATCGGGACTACAGCATTAATCAGATATAATATTGATTACGAAGTTTATTGGCTAAAACTCTTTGCCGAACATCGGTTGTTGAACCCTATTGTTCTCTAAACAAGATACGATTACGTATAGACGATTACTCCAGTTTCTCTAAATAGATTATACGATTTGTTTTTTTTTTATCTCAGCAGTGTGCTGGTTTCAATCCTTATCAACGTCCGTTCATAGATATTTTTATACACCCACATGGAAACGTGGACGGATAGTGCCGTCGCCCCTGTCCAACCATCGGTCGGTCTGTCCACATTTCTAGTATGTACGATATAGGCTACAGCTTTAATCTGATCTTGATGAAACTTAGTATGCATGTATATATGGATGAGATCTTGGTCAAGTTCGAAATTGGTAATAATCGGATGAATGATTTTAGAGTTATTGCCCTTAACTTAGTATAAATACATCAAATTTGGCTTGTAGGCACGATATAAATTACAGTTTTTATCCGATCTTGATGAAACTTGGTAACCATGTATATATTGATGAGATCTTGGTCAAGATTGAATTTGGTCATAACTGGATGAATGGTTTTGGAGTTATTGCCATTGACTTAGAAAGAAAACGCTTCAAAGTTGGCTTGTAGTCATGATACGGGGTGCAATTTTTATCTAATCTCAATGAAACTTGGTATGCATGTATAAAATGATGACATCTCAGTTAAAAAATGGTAATAATTGGATGAATTTGTTTTTTTTTTTGTGTTATTGCCCTTGAATTAATTCAATAGTCTAATTTAGCTTGTAGGCCTGATAGAGACATTTTTTTTTATCCGATCTTGATGAAACTTAGTATTAGACCTTGATAAAGCTTGAAATTAGTAACAATTGGATGATTGGTTTCACATATTAAACCACTACAGACTTTGTTATCATTTCTGACGGCTGGTAGTGGGAGTATTTTAGCCTGCCTGGCAAGCTATCTTTTACTAATGATAAAGCTAATAGAAACTCTAACTTTGTATAGGTCAGCATACGGTCCATTACAGTTACTGCTCTATATCAGTCTGCTCAAAATAAAGATCTCAAATCAAATTCTAAATGCTGTGATTTGGACTTTTTTATATGTAATTTTATTGGCGGTTCACGCCAAGGAGAGGTAATAGTCTTTTTAAGCCCTTTGGTGCGTGAATACGACTTGGGTCAATAACAATAATATCGATAATGTAATAATCGTAACTAAAATAAGCATTATCGTGTATGCTGTATTACATTAGCGCCGAACAAGGAGATTACGGATAATTTCATGTCACGTGTATTATGAATTATCATCGGTTAAACCAGACAATAATAATATTACAGCTCTAAAAGCATGACTCTATTAATTAATTAAGAGAAAAAGAGGGTTTTATGGAAGCTGTCACGTTTTTTTTTCCGAAATTCACGTGCTAGCAGGCACTATGCCATGCCCCCCCCCCCCCCCCCAGAGAGAAAATAACTCTCCATGTAATTGTCCCAAATTGATATATCGCTTAAGCTTATCTAATAACCTGTTATCGCCAGGTTTCATCCGGGTCGATTTGTTTGGATATATCCAAAAAGGGCGAAAAACTGAAGGTTCTAGTGTGTTGTCGGGGAAATGTGCAGGAAAGGGGGGCCGTGTATGACAGACTTGATTATCTTTGTATATCTAAATTGCATCACATGATTAAACGTTCATATAAATTTCATCAGTTAGTTCTTAGGTCCGCAGACACAACGGTATGTGTCTACAATGTAATACGGGTGACATCAAGAACATGTCCCTCCCTCCTTCGCCTGTGAAAGGTCTTATTTTTTAAATGAAACATAAGGCCTCTAAATACATCTCAGGCCATCAGAAATTCGTTGACTTGGAAGCTGCGAGAGGCCCTCTAACTTTCGTGCTGCAAGGGCCTTTGGGCCTCTTCTCGGAGCACCCCTTCAGACGTTTTCGAAATAGGACCCTTTTTAATAGTGTTTTAAAGTTTTTGATACAATACAGCCCATCATTTGAATTTTTCATTAGAAAATACATTTTTGTTTTCGGCTGAAGGGAAACAATGATATTTTTGTTTTGATCCCATTGTTGTCTGAATCTAATGATTGATAGCTGAATGACCTCCCTTTAATAAGATGACTGGATGATCGATCTACAAACGTTGTTATGGGAACGTGAAGTTCGGTGTTGTTATTGTTGTCTTTTAAAATAAGAATTTAGGTAGAATAATGCTTGTTTAAATCGACTTGAATTGCCATATTAGATTTCAGGTAGTTATTTTCATGTTTTAGGCTATACCTTCACTTTATTATTCATTGACTCCATGATTGAAACGTTCTCAATATTGACACAAAAGTTGTTTTTTGACAGAAGCTGAGGACTGCATACGGTGTCTTTAATTTGTCAACTCTAAGCCAATTCATATTTTGCACTTGCAACAGTTCTGGTGTAATTTCGTTTTGCCAATATTGAATATAGTAGGCTAATATAATTGTAGGCGCATGACTGATCTATTGATTTCTTAGTCTTCTATGACTTTTACATGTACATGTACTTTTAGTTTTACTTATACTTAGGTCCAATCGTACTTGTGTTGATTGAGAAACAGACAGTAGCCTACATGTCATTAGACTAGGCTTTTATTGAACATTTACATTTCTACTATCACTCCCTTCAATGAACCAGTTGTTACGCAAACTGCTGTTTAATTTTCGATAAACTGTAGTTTGTCACACGATACTAGGCTAACAATGAAAGTGCAACAATGACGCAATTTAAGATTTGTGACAAATTCAAGGAACCGATCATATAAAGAAGTGAAAATTGTGTTAATAAAAGTTAAGTATCTAAATATGAATATAAGAATTAAACATTGGTCTCACCAGCATTATGCATTGGTGTGTAAACACAGTTGATCTCGCCACAAACATGAACCTGATAGCCTATTACAATTCACACACTTAAAAAGGTGGTAAATATCCCTTGTCCTTTTTGCTTATTTTCCACTGAATTAACATCTATATGTGGAATAGTTTTGAAATAATGATAATCTTAGATTTGTCAAAATGGTTTAGATTTAAGGGGGGTTGATTTTAGTCTTGAATATATGTAAATAGTGTCCATAATTACTAGAAATGTGTAAAAATGGCATAATTCCTTCAAAAATATCTCAGACTAGGAATTTTACTCACAATTTCAATATGTCTTTTCTAATATCACAGAGTATCTTAAATTGACAGTCGGCATTTTAACATTCAAACTGGGATGATTCTGGACACACATAGATTTGAAGGCTCCATGGTGAGCTGTGAACACTATTACTGATTGGCTAAGCTAAAAAAAATTCTGGTTTCTTAAATTAAAGTATGATTGGCCCTTTAAGGCCAAAAGTATCTTGAATGTCTTTTTCTTTTACCACTTCGAACACTTATATATTTTTGACTGTAATCTTGGCTTATATTCTTATTTCAGGTAGATACCAGTAGCAATTGCAATGAGTGGAGATCAAAACACAAGTCGTTTAGAATCTGTTCCTTCACAAGTGATCAATGCAAGACGAACAGAATCACTAGATGCTCCTCATATAATTAAACTAGCTCAACAGACAACTAGTGAACTATTTGGTAGAGTGGATGTTGTTGAAATTATGTAAGTAAGCTTATAATGTGATGTGACAACTGAAATATTATGTAGGAATCTCTATATTCAGGGGGAGCCACGGTGGCTCAGTGAGTTTGACGTTTGCTAACCTAAAGGTCGAGGGTCCTATCTTGGCATAGGTCAACATTATACCTTATTCAACATGGTTTCCCCCGTGAGTGATGCAGGTCAAAGGGTATGACATGGCAAGAGCTTCTTATCGTTTTGGATAGACATTAAAGCGAGACTCTGTGTTACAGTCTGTGCTTGCTAAAGATCCCTCGACAGTTTGAAGTAAAAAAGAGTAGGTTAATGTGGATAATTATCTTCATTGCACACTGCATGGCATTGCTTGTCTCCAAATTATTGTCTCAAACTCTGTATTCTGCTTTCTGTTATTTTTCAGAGAAAAGGCTGTACTTGCTATCACACTAAACAATGAGAAAGACGAGATTTTAGGCCATGCAGCTTTTTATGATTATCCAAACACTAAATCTATTGATCAAGCAGAATGGGTAGACTGGATCAGAAACAATTTTGATGAAGTACAGAAGTCTTCAGCTTTCAATACATTATTTCTGCATTATTTCGTGGCCAGACCAGGATATGCCAATGGATGTGCCAAAGAAATTATGCGCACAGCCTTCACTGCTATTCCAGATGTTCATTTCATTATTTTGATGGTACCAAATGGAACATTTCCAGGTAAAAATGATATTATGCTCTCATTGTAATGTTTTTTTGACCTTTGTACTTTAAAACTGAATGTAAAGGCTAATGATACTGAATGATTGATCAGGGACCATTTGGAATATCCGACAGTGTCTTGATGGACTCATTATTGGTTCAACTTTGTATAGATACCAACATTTTTGCAAAATTTGGCTTTTAACATAGTGAAAATTTTCAAAAACTGGATCAGAGCAACTTCCATTTACACATGTTGATAGATCGGAGCATCATGTCTGAAGAGCAGTCAGAACCAGATTTGTCAGGATAATTTGGTATTTGTTTCTTTATTTACAGATCCATCATTATCAGAGATTTTTCAACCATTAAAGAGAATTAACAGTGTTGGTAGTGAAGTAACAGCTTTTGTTTGTAAAAGACATGATCATGTTCCAGTTCTACACGTTAGACAGGCCAGGTAAATCTTCTTCCATACTTATTTATTCAGACTGAATATCTCACACAGCTTTGACTGAACAGGAGCCTCATTTAGTTAATTCACATATAACAGAAACTTAATTTTAGGACAAATAAGACTAAATTTGAAATCAATTTGAGAAACACCAATCTTTTCAGTTAATCTTTTGTAAATAGTCCTCCAGGATATTTCATTGGCTGAATCAATTTTTTATTTTGAACATAATCATGCAAGTCAATGTAGTTAGATTTAAGAGACAGTTTTGACCCTATTCCAAATAAATAGAATATATATGAATGGTAGAAAATGGGCACATTGTTAAAGAAAAATTAGTAACATATATTTTGATATTATTTTAGAGTGGAAGATAATGATGATTTAACACCAATATTTAATAGACAAAGTGATATGTTAAAATCTATTTATGGAGACTTCTTTCTAGCAGAATTGATAGAAGCACAAGATGATGAAATGCAATGTTTAGTGGTTGAGGTAAGAATACTGATAGCTGCTTTTAGCAAGCACTAGTAAGTACACAATAGGCCACTTATTCACACTTTGGACTTAAAAATGAAAAGCAACATAGGAGAAGAGAAGGCAATGTCTAAAACATAAGGGACATTAGTGCAGTATTTGTTTGTGGTCTGAGTCCACATGAAGAAGATTTCTAAACTACCAACTTATCTTACCTTGCTCTAACTTTCTGAGGTTCTAGTATTTTCTTTTAGCAATCTCAAACATAAATTAAGTGTTCGTCTCCAGCACAGATATTTGTGTGACACTTGAATTATTTATAATTCTAGGCAGAAGGTACAGCTTGTGGATTTACCAGTTTGAATAAAAATGTAAATTATGATCTACTAAATGAATGTTTTGAGTTGGCACCATTCCATGGATTAAGGAAACCACACGATGAAGATGATTTAGTTCCACCAGCAACTCCTGTACCTTCACCAATTACTGGTATGCTGACTTTTTGAGTTTTATTTTTGGGTTCCTTTTATATCAAACAACTTTTTGTGACCTGATAGATCATTTGCTATTTATTTCAAAATTTCAAAAATTTCCCAGAAAGTTATTAATGATTTCAAGCAATTATTTTGAATTTTGTTGTATAATTCTTGAAGTGAAAGATATTTTAATGAATATACTTATATGTCCACCTTTCTGAACCTGATTGGATTGGCAATGCCATGAAGTGTGCATTGAGGAAATTTCGCTTGGCCATTTGTGTTGGTCAACTCTTTTTCATTTATTGTCCCATCTGATGTCTAGACAATTTTTCCAAGTCCGCCCCTCCAACATGCATCATTGACAGGACTGAACTGAACTGGGTTGAAAAATCTGAAGGTATTATCACGACTCCTGCAGGATTGAACGCTAGACTGTTTTGTCAGCGAGTAAATTCACTAAGCCACCATGGCTCCCAGATTTAAGACATTGCAATCCAAATCCAACTTTTGAAAATAATTTGAAACATGCCAAAAAATAACACAAATATCTGTTCTTTTATTTTGTAGTAGAAACACGAAGAGAAGATTCTATTCATTCAAGAGAATCTAAAACAGAAAGTCCTAGTTTAGATAAAGATGAAACTACTCTTAAAACAGAAACTAGTAAACTAGAGACATCTGATAAACTCAAAACTAGCAGACAATCTAGTGCTGCTTCAGCTAGAGGTTTGTTACTATTCAGTTTGATTCTTTTTGATACTGTTGTGTATTCCAGAGCTTCTGAGAGAAAAAAAGGTTTTGCCTTATCTGAACAAAGATTTGTCTTTCGTGATTTGTTTGATTAGTGGATTTCAAACTTTTTATGATCATAGGATATTTTATTTTGTTAGGAAAGCAGCTCCCTTTGACCTACAAATGCTGTTGAATTTTTTTCATGTATGGCAGCAATTATAGAAGCCATTGTAGAATTGGTTTGAAATATCATAGAAAGAAACCATTTTTTACATGGATAACAGCTTAGTTTCACATTGAAGGATTCTTTCTACCAGCCGGTCCTTGACAAAACCTCTTGGCATTAATCTTTTTGGGAACCATTTTCAGATGGGTTGACTGCAATGACATGAAAAGATGACTTATTCAAGGTTACCAGAATTTCAACTTGTAACAAAGATAAGGTGTCAAAGAATATTATTACTCTTGATAATTCGTATGTAATTGCTCTGTCTTATCTCTTATAGGAAGTATAGAGAATGCAGAAAGACTGAGTTCTAGACAAAGTGTTGGTTCTCAAGTCAGTGCATCACAAGTATTAAAAAATGAAACTGAAGGTATTGAAACTCAACCAACATCAAGTACAATGTTTACTGTAAGTTTTATCTTTTAGTTTTTGGATTCATTAACTGCATCTTCACAATATTAAGATATTACTTATACCTTATACTTACTTTTTATTGGCTGTATCCATTAGCGTACGATCCAATCAAATTGCTTAATGAGAATTTGATTTTTTAGCAACCAATCTTAATCTTAAAGGCACAGAATCAATTATTATGCTATTTAACAACTGATAAGCTCAATTTCAGCAATCTACATCACTTTTAAGAGTTGAAATCTGAGGTCATGTTTATATGCAATTTATCAAAATGAAGTGCTGAAGTTGACACTGTTGTCCCTTGTCACAGGCAGTTCTGAATTATGTCTATAGTTGATTTGTCTTAAGAGGAGTAATATATGCATTATTTAATCTGATTTTTGCTTTTACTTTTTACTAACTCATCTTAAACCTAAGATTTCAATGTAAGTATAAAATATTTTTTTATTTTTTGGTAGACTGCTTTAAGTAACAATGTACAACCATTATTTACATCAAAGAAGAGATTTGTACCAACATATAAAGGAGAAGCTAATGCTTTCACTATACAATTATTTTGTATTGATGAAAAATATGAAATGAGGTAAATGGTTTTAATTTTAGATTTCACCCCAGAAAACTACCAAATATTGCGTTAATGGTATTATAAATGGCCCATTTTAAAATGTTCAATAAAAAATGGTTCTAATAGACCAAGATATCCTTGTGTCTTGCTAATGATTTTCATTTGAAAAGTGAAAAAATTCATAATCAATGATTAAAGTTAGAAAGAAACTGCTCATTAATGAAAATTTCCAATGTATTTTTTACTTGCAGATCAAAAGATATTCTATCTAAAGCCTTCTCATTGTTTCCTCACTGTGATTTCTGTATTATAACAGTACCACATTTAGTTCCTGAATTTCCATTATTACATGGTTTTGTGGTGAGTCTTATTTCTGTATCAAAATTTTTTTGACAGATTTTTGTATTTTATTTACAGTCATAAAGATTAGCATTTAGAATTTTGTACTGTGAGATCTCAATTGAATCAATTCAACTCTTTCAGTCAATGTTCTTACTGATATATTTCTACTTTTAAGTGTGCTTTGGGGTATTGATAATGGACAGCAATACATTCAAAGACATTGTTGGGCTTTATTGGTACCAGCTTAAGATTTTCTTGTTTCTGACATAGTGAAGACTTAGTATTTCCATTAATATAACATGTGATTAATTGTTTTCTATTCTAGAGAGTTACACCTAGAAGTCCAAGTACATTATCTCAAGAACTTTATGTATTTCACAGATCTGGACTTCTAAAGTAAGTATTTATATGCAACTTACACAGGCACAGACTGAAATAGGTCAGTTGTCTGAAGATTGCAAAACTTTAAAACATGAGTGACAACATGATTTATTAGGTTCTGTTTTAATATTTCTATTTCTATATCTCTCTATAATTGATATATTAAGCACTATTTTAACAGTGAGAATTTTTTGTTATAGACAAACTAATCCTTTCTATTGTAGAAATTTCAATGTACGAACAGCCTGTACTAAAGATATACATGGTGTAGAGAATTTAGTGAAAAGTATACATTGTCAATCTGATTTATTGGATGATTTTAAACAGTTTCGTGCTGCAAGACGGGATGAGGTTAGTATCATTTCATGTCATTATTTTGTTATTATTGATTTAGATGATAATAGAATTTGATGCAGGGCTTTCAGCATCAGCTATGGTCTTTGCAGGTTAAAATAAAGATGCAAAATGGACCTTAAAAGCATTTTCAAATGCTCTCCCAACTTCTGGTCATTTTATTTTAAAAAACAGTTAAAACATCTTTAAAAATGTTTTATTTGTAGTGTTCTATTTTTACCCATATCCTCTTTGAATAACATTTTTTGTATGTAATAAGCAATGTTCTTAACCATTTTTAATTCAAAAGAAAAGCCAATTTTGAATCACACAAAAAAGTCTCCCTTACTATTTCATGATTTTCTTTTACATTTGATATGATAGGATGGTAAAGAAATTCAAGCTTTTGTAGCAGAATGTTCAGAACAGATAGTTGGTGTCTGTATTGTAAGGAGAGAAGAGGTGAGTGAATTGTATATTTTCGATGACATGGGGGCTATGAAATTATATTACAAAATCACATTAGAGTATATGATCTATAGAATTTAGTATTTAAGATCACATTAATGTGTATAAAGAAAGAGTATATAAAATCACATTTAAGTAAATCAAGGATCACATTATGATATAAGATTTATAATATTTTTCTAGGATAGAAAATTCTTAACACAACAAGGATATATAATTTAATATAACTTTCTAAGATATAGAATATATAAGATCACATTATGATATTGAATTATATATTTTTCTAGGATATAGAGTATATAAGATCATAATATAGAATTTACTATATTTTTCTGGGATATAGAGTATATAAGATCATAATATAGAATTTACTATATTTTTCTGGGATATAGAGTATATAAGATCATAATATAGAATTTATTATATTTTTCTAGGCTATAGAGTATATAAGATCATAATATAGAATTTATTATATTTTTCTAGGATATAGAATATATAAGATCATAATATAGAATTTGTTATATTTTTCTAGGATATAGAATATATAAATTCACATTATGATAGAGAATCTATAATATTTTTTAGGATAAAAAATTCTTAACATAACATGATATATATAATATATTATAGTTTTCTAGGATATAGAATATATAAGATCAAATTATAATATGAAATTTTATATTTATTTCTAGATAAGATCACATCATCATAATATAGAATTCATTATATTTCTCTAGGATATAGAATATATAAGATCACATTATGATATAGAATTTATTATATTTTTCTAGGATATAGAATATATAAGATCACATTATAATATAGAAGATTTTATATATTTTAATCATCACAGAAGAGAAGATCATGGTCATCTTCACCATTTTGCTCTGAATCCAGTTTTCTCACATCTTTCTAAACATTTCCTCAAGGTAAGAGTTCAGTTTTTGATAGAAGAAGAGCCACTTGCATTCGAGCCAAAAAATAATTTTTCTGATTCTTTTTGAATGGGTTTATTTTTATGTTTAGTAAAAATATTGGAAATATTTCAAAACAGATGTCCTTGTAATCAATAAAAAAAAATATTTTTCACATCTGAGTTATTGTTTATTAGGTTTAAAAAATTAATTTTAAGCTAATTTTGAATTTTTATTTTATTTTTAGGAAGTGTTAAGATTAGGACATAAAACATGCTTATATTACCCTCTATATCCACCTTATATATCACACGAGGTAAATCTTAATTTTTATTTGTTTGTTTTTATTTCAAATAGTCTTAGATAAATGATTTAAAAGCAAGAAATACCTAAAGTCAATTTCAATTCTATGGATTCTATTTTCCAGCTGGATCTTGGCCAAAGATATTTAGAAAAAAAGGGAAATTTCGTATAAATTTTACTTTATTTTAATTTTTTTTAAAAAAAGACTGTTTCCAACAAACTTAATGAATATTATATTGTAGCTTACCACCAAAAATACCATGATATCAGCATTAAATGATTTGGTACCAGTAAGAGCTAGAAGACAAGTTAACTATAATATTGATATATTAGGAGAGAATTCACCATCTGATAGAGTGCTGAAACAAACACATCCATTTGCTCTATGTCATATTAATAGAAAACTGACTCTCGAACCTAAGGTATGGTCATTGGTTAAAATTTCTATTTGATTGCAAGTGTTTATGGTGTATGATTTTTTTATAAGCCCACATCTCTCTATGTGGACGTATATTGTGTGCACCCCTGTTTGTCCGTCAGTCCGTCAACATTTGCTTGTAATCGCTCTAAAAACTCGGTATGTGTATACATATTCATAAAACGAAGATCAAGTTCGAATTTGAGCTATTTTCGACCATTAGAAGCAGAGTTATTGCCCTTGCCCCAAAATCTTCAATATTTATTAATACGCCGTGGTGGGCGATATGGCTGTGGTCCACTATCTTTCATGATCTGTTTAAATCATTGTTTAGACCTTCTTTGTCAATATTTCTCTTTTGAACCTTTGTCATACTTTCTATCCTTACTAACCTTTGTCATATTTATGTTATATCCTGACTTACTGACATTTTAGAATATCCCCCATCAACCCTGACTGACCTTTGTCATATCAGTCTTGTATGCTAACTGACCTTTGTCATACCTTTTAGTATTCTTGGATCTACATATCTTTTTTGTTAACATTGACCTTTTTAGAACTTATTTTGTACCTTTATTGACCTTCTGATATAACATTATTTTGTATATTATAATTTATATTTTAGGTCACTATCAATGCTAGAATTGTAGTGGTTGGAGCATCAGATGTAGGTGTAGCATTTTTAGAGACATTGGCTTACTGGTGAGTGGCTTTTCGATTATTTAAGGAATGAATGTGGATCTTGTTATCGTTATGGGGAAATAAACGCTGGTTTATCATGTGACAAGACAAATGACCCTGGGAAGCGTCATTTACATTGGTTTATCTTTTCTGATAAAATACGCCAAAATTGTAAAAATACCCGAAACCATTGTTGCTTAAATCACCTATATCTGTCAATCAATTTCACTGCCCGCCCCTAACAATATAGTTCTATAAATCAACAGTCTTATTTGGATGATAGAATTATCAAATATTTATTATTCCATTGAAATATTAGCTACAATTGTAAATTTAAATAAATTGTAAATCACTTTCCAACTCTAGGTAAAAAACTTGGGTCAATCCTTGTTTTCGATTTCAATGTATTCATACACCTTATTGTCACGTGACAAACTACAGTTATTGGAAAATAAACACTGGTTTGGCTAACTGGTTTATTGAAGGGAGTGATAGTAGAAATGTAAATATAAATTCTTGAAAGAAGGTTTTCCCTGTATTTATATTCAGTAACAAATCAAGTTTGTTGAAGTTTTGTATTTTGTTCCTCAAGGAATAAGTTGTGCAGAATTGCATGTCCAGATTATCCTTGAACTTATGCGTTCATATTTCTCTTTCAGTCCTCATTTAAGATTCAATAATGTAACATTGATATCCCCGCATGGTTTTCCTGGTGAAATAGATCCAAGTTTATTACAACATCCAATGTTAACTAAAAAGTAAGTAATTTTATAATTTAACATAGTATTTATAGTACCAGTTGAACTTCCTTTTGAATCCCAGTAAGTGGTTTAACATTGTGACATCACATCATTGATTGCTGTATTAATTTGTTTTTAGCTATCCTACCAGTAAAGATGAAGAGATATGGTCGTTTTTAAGAACATGGATTAGTATAGTTTATGGAAAGATGACTGGAATTGATAGGTATTTTTTCAAACCCCATTTCTTTACTATTATGTTTTTGATAATCTAAATAGAAAATTAGTGTAAAAATGATATTTTTGACTTTAGAATTGAAAGTTTGTGTATAACCTATGAATCTAGCCAATTGAATAATAAAAAATGAAGATTCCGTGTGGCTGCTCTTGACAATTGGAAATAAAAAATTCAAGCTTGTTGCAAAATTTTTGTGAATGCTATTGTACACTGCATTGCCTAGCTTATCTGGATATAAAACACATTTCTTTTCATATTTCAGAACCAGGAAACAAGTCAAAGTAAACTCTAGCTTCATAGTTCCTTATGACCACCTCATCATCTGTACTGGACAACAGTATCAAGTACCATGTCCCACAGAAGCTTCCTTAGAACACGGCGTAACCAATAAGGAACTTCCCAACAGTCCTGATAGAAGATATAAAGGATCCCAACCAAATAACCTGTACCTTGTTAATGATTATTATGATAGTTTAACTTTACAACATGCTATACAGAATAAATTGATGCCTTCCAACAGTAAGTATAGCAGCTATGATTGGAATTGCGATCACTTTTCTGCTGTAAAATTGTCTATTAATGTGCAAGAAGTTCGAGTGCAGACATTTGATTTGCAAGACTTTTGCTCGACGGACAATGCTTATCAAAGTAAAGAGAAAGAGGACATTTGCTCACCGGACATTTGCTCACCGAACATTTGCTTGCTGGAGAATAGCTGACTGGACATTTGCTTTCTGGAGAATAGCTCACCAGACATTTGCTTGCTGGAGAATAGCTCACCGGACATTTGCTTGCTGTAGATTAGCTCACCGGACATTTGCTTGCTGGACAATTGCTCACCGGACATTTGCTTGCTGGACAATTGCTTATCACAGAAAAGAGAAAGAGGATATTTGCTTACTGGACAATTGCTCGCTAGACAATTGCTCACCGGACAATTGCTCACCGGACAGTTGCTTGCTGGACAATTGCTCACCGGACAATTGCTCACTAGACAATTGCTCACCGGACAGTTGCTTGCTGGACAATTGCTCACTAGACCATTTCTCACCGGACAGTTGCTTGCTGGACAATTGCTCACTAGACAATTGCTCACCGGACAATTGCTCACTAGACAATTGCTCACCGGACAATTGCTCACCACAATATTCCTATGGATGTCATGCATGTTGGTCAAATTCAGGTTAAGAAGGTATTTTTTAAGAGATGAGACTCAAGGTTTTAATCTGCTACATGTATTATTTTAGATAAGATACTGCTATATGGTAACAATATAGACACCTATACTTGTATACAATCATTATTGCAATATGGTATTACTGGTGATAATATACTATTAGTTTTACCACCTCAAGCTTATGATGTAAGTTGTTGATATCTTTTACCTACCTTATCTACCTAGAATTCATAACAAGTTCTGATCTTTTCATTTTGATACATTTTCGAACTGAAGCCAAACCAACTCTTTTAGATTACCTTAAAGTTTTTAAACTGAGAAGCTCTGGATATGAATAAATGTAAATTAGTATTTTAGTACTTAAATGTGATCCCATTCTATTGACCTGAGGTCATCCTTTACCCATATTTTTTAAGGTTTTAATCCAAAATTTTATTAACTTTGAGAAATGGTAGATATAGCAGACAAAGCAGGGCATGTTCACTATTTTGGAACTTTCTTTTCAGAGAGTCCACATAGCTATTCAAAATATTTTTCAAATATTTGATGAGAATGTCTTGTAATACACAAGTAAAAAATGTTTTCTTTGTAGCTAAAAAATAATCCAAATTTGTTTATATTTGAAGGTGACTTGTTTTAACAACAAAGTAATAGAAGATACAGTTCGTAAAGCACTCAATGATAATGGTATTAAGATATATGAGGGCTTTTTATTAGCTGAATGGACTCTAAATGATGATACTGATATTACATCTGTCAGTTTTACATCAGATGATGAACCACTAACTTTATCTTGTCATGTAAGTATTTGTAAAATAGGGTTTTCTCCCAAAAATGGAGTAGTCTGTGAAACTTTTGGCATAATTTTTTTTACAAACTTTTAAATATTTATTCTGAGATTCCAAAGTTAGTACTTGCAAATTTAGAATGTTCTTCAAAAAGTGGTTTGCTTTTTTGAGCAAATTGCGATATGAAGCTTGCGAAAATTTAGCTTAAAAACGATCCTCTTTTGCATGTCTGTCTGGTTTAGCATAAATTAAAAAGGGATTATGAAGAGGTTTAGCGATTAGTGACGCCATCAACACTAAGTTTTATTGGAATCGCAGGAATTAAAGACGTCTACTGAAAATTGGAATGGTGCAAATTGATCAGTGTCTCCAATAACACATAACAAATGTAAAAAAAACTAACAATTGCTTTAAAAAATATAGTAAATTTTTTCTCATTTTTGACTTTTTTAGGCTTTCTTCTCACTCTACAAGAAAGCAGTTGATATGGATTCTTTCAAAGGTAAGAATATAACACTAATCATAAACCAAAATAAATGGGAAATTTCCTATAGAATAGGAAAAGAAATTCCTAGTTTTTTGAAGGAATTGTGCGATTTTTGTACATTTTGGTACTTCTGAAGACAAATTTACATATATTTAAGAGTCAAATCAACCCCTCAAAATGGCGCTCATGTCAAAGGTTTGAATGACATTTTGGACCAAGTTTACTTCAAAATATTCTCATAAGACCAGATTGTTATTCCTTGATCTTTACATTATTCTGTATTATTATTTCAGCTATCAATGATGCTTGTTTAGTATATGATGGTAAATTAGTAGTGGATTCATTATTTCATACTAATGATGTTAGTATACGTGGAGCTGGTACTCTTACTAAATACCAACGTAAATACTATGGTAATAAATGGTCACATGCAAACTTTAATTCTAAAGAAATTGGTATTGCTGTAAGTTTATTATAATTTTTCGTAGAAGGGTGTATCACATGAATATTTTCCCCGTTTTAAATTATTATTGGTGTACTAGAGTATGTTAACTCTGTTTCTCATGGTATTGAGAATTCTGATTGAATCTCAAAGAGTGGGAACAGATGGGTCATACTCTTTCAGAAAAACATGCTTGTGTTGTTTTATTTGAAAAATTGCATATCTGAACTACACCTAATACGATAGATGGTTACTTAATTTCTTGTTGTCAAAAATACAAGTTGGAGAGACTGCTAGTGAAAAATTATTGAATGTGGGTTATTTTGATACTATATATGCAGTATATTTTGTATGCATCAGAAGTCGAATAGCGAAAAATTAAATTTATACCGTATATATGGTATATTAGTATTTGACATTAGATCTCTTTTTTACCAATCTTTCAGTTGGCAACAGAAATTTTAAAGTTATTTGATCCAACTGTTGAACCTGAAGCTTATCCTAGAGAAGAACAGTTTAATTTGATACCTTTATACCGAGCTCCTAAAATACAAGTTACTATGTTACCAGGTAAATAGTCTTAAACAGTAACCGGCAGATACAGCTCCTCTTGAGCTACCTTTAACAATTGATATACTTAAAGTTTGACACCTGGTTTGTCTTCAATTCAATGAAAAAAAGCTGCTGCCTGACTGTAGTGAGAATAAGTATTGATGATGGATGTCCATAACATTTTTTAAAAATTAATTAATAATTGCAATGATTTAGTTAAAAACTTTAACTTCCATTTTAATCGGTTTTTATTTTCAGGTGGCTATAATTACCTTCATGTAAAGAAACCAGGATTAGATGTTCCCTTGGAAATACAAATGGCCAATGAAGATTATGTAAGTCGCAGCCTGAAATTTTTCTTACATTTCAACCACTTTCCTAGTTAAAATAATTGTATAGAGGATTTCAAGAAATTTTATCTGTATTGTGGACACTGATAGCATCAGTTTGCATCATTCCAATTTGTGATTCCTGCAATTCCACTTAAACTAAGTCCTTCTATTTAAGCATATTTTGCGATTAGTGACATCATCAAATGCTTAGTTTTAGTGGAATTGACACCTAATTGAAAATTGGAATGCTTCAAATTGATATTATCTGTGTCCCGATACACATAAAATTATTAGAAAACCTCTTTACAATCCCTTTAATACACTTCAAAGAGCTAAAGAACTAACCAAAAGTAAATTCATTTATGTTTTTAAGTTGATTGTGGCAATGATTTTAGAGTATAGAAAAATAATTGACAACTTTTGTTAGTCCTACTAAGATATGATTATTGTTCTTTAAGGGTAAAGAATTAGTTACTGGTGAACCAGATTCAGAGAAAGGTTATTTTAGATTACATGTTAATCTATATAACAGTATTGAAACTATAACATGTCTAGCAAAACAGGTATTATCAATATATTTTCACAATAACAAATCAACTTTTATTATATTTTTATTATATGTTGTTATATTAATGTATTATTATATTGATCATTATTTTTCATTTGGTATTTACAACCAAGTTTTTAAAAGCTTACATTGTAATAATGTAATAATAGAATCAAAAATAAATATATTAATGGGACAGGCATCCATTTGAACGTCTTACAAACAAGAATTATTTTTGGCTTAACTAATCAGTAATAGTGTTCACAGCTCAATGTCAAAATTTGAGTCTTCAAATCCATGTGTGTTCAGAATTATCCGTGTTTGAAGGTTGAAAAGAAATTAGTCTTTTCTCAAGATTCTGCCATAATAGAAAACACATATATAGAATAGACAGTGAAATTCCTAGTTTAAGATATTTTTGAAGGAATTATGCGATTTTTGTACATTTGTAGCATTTATAAAGACTATTTACATATATTCAAGACCCAAATTTAATCCCAGAAAATGGCAAACCTGTACCTTAAAGGTGTTGTATCAGATATTAGTGATTATAATGGATCAGTCAGTTGAAGAATTTTTGTAGTATTTTTTTGTATATTATGGTGTAAGCTTTAATATAACAGCTTTACTATGACAAGAATGTTACATCATGTCTCCTCAATCATGTAGGCCATTTATAAACACATATTTATCCATTTATGTCAACATCTTTAAACCCTTCTTAATATTTCTTTCAAAGACAGAGGTTCACCACATCAAGGGTTGATTTGGGTCTTGAATATATGTAAACAGTCTTCAAAAGTACTAGAAATAGAAATGTATTTTATCATTGATAGGAAGTCACCTGTAGTAATTTGCTATGTCTGTATGGTTTACATGAGAAATATCTGAACAACTTGGTGTCCAGATTTGATGAAGGTCTTATTACAGACTTTTACAGGTAAAATATATCATACTTGGTCATCTTTATAGAAGGAAATCGTGAGCAGAGCAATAAGTTGTAAGCACTGTTTGGTATAGTCAACGATATGTATGCATATCAATGGCAAACTTATGGTCATCTTTAGGCATTGTGATGACTTTATTTATAGTAGCTATGTAGTATCTCTATATTGATGTATATTGTCCGTCAACATCAATTCACATTTCCTTGTAAATGATGTAGTTCTTAAGTCTGGCAGTTTGGGAAAATTCCGAATTTTAAGCTCTTGTCAACCTAGCAAAAATTCCAAGTTTAAAATTCTTAAATTTTATGTTCATTCTAAGACGTATTCCTTTAACTGAAATACATGAAACCAGTTGAAAGTTTCTCAGTTTGACTGCTTTCTGAAGTGTGTGTATATTTATGAATTATTTGATTTTGGATGTAGGGAGTTAAAAAATGATATCTGAATAATGATATATGATTTCAGTTATTTTAAAGAGAGTTGGTGTGTAGGTCTATATCATGATAGATTTTCTGATTTAAGAGATGAATTGAGGGAACTTTTGATCACCAGTCCTGTAAGTAGTGGCATTTTATTTTTATTCTATCTCTGTTTCTTGCTCTATGTTTGAAGAGGACTTTTTCATCTGGATAAAAAGATTGAAAGAATCGATTAACGAATTAATGGTCGCTAGGAATATATGATTTCAGTTATCGATTATCAAATTTCATAATCGATCATATGTCAAACTTACATTTTCTCTACTGTCCTTGGTAACTTATAGTAATCCTTCCACATAGGTTCCCTTCAGCAAATAACTTACCCACAATAAGCCATAATAACCGATCAAAGGAAGATTATGCTTCTATGACAGACAAATAACGCATGAAATTAAGAATTTTGACATGTTTTTAATTTAGTATTTACAGGGTTTCTTGCAGTCAATAGTCAATCTCGATTTGGAAATAGATACCCAGCCCTACCGTCAATACAAGTTTTTAGGAACTTCTTCACTGTATTTTATATCTAAACTATTTTTAGGAGGAAGGTAAAGAGACATTAGAAGATCAAATAAGACAATTAATTGATGAAGAAATGTCGGTATGTACTAAATTCTTATCTTTGATTTAGACAGTTATATTCAAAAAAATATAGACTCCAGATATGGCTATAACCAATTATAATCCATTTACAGCCAAACAGAGCCTTATGGCTTGTATGTCCTGGTCTTTGGTGGGCTGTATTCACTAACGTATAATCTCACCTAATCTCACCTAATCGATGCATTAACAATCTTCTGTGATAAAAGAAAGGTGGCTATTGCTGTCAAGGTATAAGACAAAGTTTGTAATAGGTTGACATTGTGAAGATGTAAATTGTTAAATAAAATGCTCTGTTCACCCATAGTTTAAACCCCACTTCTTTGAAGATATTCAAACATAGACTTGTATGGTTCACACACACTTAACTGTAAATGATTTTATCAAACAAAGTTACTCTTTTTGAGGTGTTAAATCTAGAATGTTTGAAGTACACTTTATTCATTATATTTCACTGCTTTTAAAAATATGTCAGAGAGTATTACCTTATCGTGTCAAACTAGCTAGTCACTATTGAGCCATCTTCACAATGTCGAGCTATTACGAACTTCGTACTTATACCTTGATTGCTATAGCCACCTTTCTTATATCATGGATATTTGTAAATGAAGCCATTGGATTGGCTTTGACAGATAGTTGGTGAACACAAAGCAATAATGTTTAAAACCTTTCTGTCGAGGCATCTGAATGGCTGTATTCCCTGGCACACAATCCAATCAAATTGCAGCATTCCATGATAAAAGAAAGGTGGTTATTGCAGACAAGGTATAAATACAAAGTTCGTAATAGCTTGACATTGTGAAGATAACATTGATCTCAATTTTTATTAATACCAGTATATACTAAACTGTGTTTGTATAATTTGGATGCTCAAAGCTGCTAAGAACTGTTTTAGCTAACTAGCAATTCTGGTACCCTTTTTAGAGACCCAAGGTGCTAAGATGAAAGTAGAAAAATAACTGTAATTATAATGTTTCTCTTTGCAGTTAAACAGTAAACAACATGATGAATTAAATGAGATATATAAACTTAGTGGAGCGAAACAGGCTGTAGAAACTAGACTACTCAATTTCTTAAGTTATAATTATTATCATTTACCAATGTATGCCAAACCTGGCATGGTGTAAATCACAAGGCAGATATCTGATATGTTTCCATAGGCTTTCAAAAACTCAACTTCTACAAGACAAAAAATATAATAAATCTGATTGGATAATAAAACTAAATTTAAAATCAAATTTAGTGATTGTCCAATCAGATGACTTGAACAACAAAATCATCTCAAGTAAAGTTCTAAAGGCCCCAGGTTGATATGGTCTCAAAATTGCCTTAAGTTCATTGGTTTCCAACAAATTCAAAATTCACTTCCCTATCTAAAGCTTAGTCTGAGTGTTTTCTATCCCATTTCTCTCATTTCTCTCATGGATATAGCCATGCAAAATATTTTAGCTGGCTATACCACTTTTCAGATGAGCAAATTGGCATCTGATTTGTCTACAATTAAAAAAAGCAAGACTGCTGTAAGGACAGTTAAATTTGATCTTGGCATTTTCCTAAGAATCTTACTCTTTTCAAATGACGTAAAATAACTGAAGTTAGATCAAAGCAAGTTGTTTTGATTTAATCGTAGAAGAACATGAAGCAATCTATAATCCAAATTGAAGTTTTATGTAACTGAATTATTGAATAATAATAGGTATATAAAATGGATCTTCTAACACCATACTGTTGAATAATAAATTTATTAGTATATCAATAATAAATGTGATAATTGTATATATTATTTATTTTCACTTATTACCCTATTTATTACTCTGAATATATCTGAATATTGTGAAGAATTTATATAATCGAATTCAAATTGAAATGAAATTCTCAATATAAAATATTTGCTTTTTGTTTGTTTTATTGTTATATCAGAGGATTTCAGAAAATACCTAGGATCAAGGGGTTTTCTAAAAGCAATTTGGAAAAAATTGAGACTGCCTAGGATTAAAGGGGAAAGAGGGGTAATGGTAAGGTTTTATAGGGGAAAGAGGGGTAAAGGTAAGGATTAAAGGGGAAAGAGGGGTAATGGTAAGGTTTTATAGGGGAAAGAGGGGTAATGGTAAGGTTTTATAGGAGAAGAGGGATAATGGTAAAGTTTTAAAGGGGAAAGAGGGGTGATGGTAAGGATTATATGTGAAAGGGGGGTAATAGTAAGGATTATAGGGGAAAGGGGAGGGATAGTAAGGATTATAGGGGAAAGAGGGGAAATGGTAATAATTATAGGTTGGAAGGGGGGTAAAAGTAAGGATTATATGGGAAAGGGGGGTAATAGTAAGGATTATATGGGAAAGGGGGGTAATAGTAAGGATTATATGGGAAAGGGGGGTAATAGTAAGGATTATAGGAGAAAGGGGGTGATAGTAAGGTTTAAAGGGGAAAGCGGGGTAATGGTAAGGATTATATTGGAAAGGGGGTAATAGTAAGGATTATAGGGGAAAGAGGGGTAATGGTAAGGATTATAGGAGAAAGAGGGGTGATGGTAAGGATTAAAGGGGAAAGAGAGGTAATGGTAAGGATTATAAGGGAAAGAGGGGTAATGTTAAGGATTATAGGGGAAAGAGGTGTAATGGTAAGGATTATAAGGGAAAGAGGGGTAATGGTAAGGATTATAGGGGAAAGAGGGGTTATGGTAAAGATTTATAGGGGAAAGAGGGGTAATGGTAAGG